ATTGTGTAAAACAGACTTGTTTTTTTTTTTCTTACTTTTTACATGATGTAAAACACTGACTGTTTTTCTTAGTTTTACATCATGTAAAACACTTACATGTTTTTTTGTTATGTTCACAATGTGAAATATACTTGACTTTTGTTTTCTTACTTTTACATTGTGTAAAATAGCGAATTTTATTTTTTTTTTCTTACTTTTTACATGATGTAAAACACTGACTGTTTTTCTTAGTTTTACATCATGTAAAACATTGACTGCTTTTTTCTTATTTTTACATCAAGTAAAACATTGACTGTGGTTTTCTTACTTTTACATCATGTAAAACATTGACTGTGTTTTTCTTATTTTTACATCAAGTAAAATATTGACTGTGTTTTTCTTACTTTTACATCATGTAAAACACTGAATATATCAAAGGTAGCCAATGATGAGAATACCCTGGACAAATAAAAAAGAGTAATGAAGATGTGTTGAATGAAACTGACTCACGAAGAGAACAAACAGCTGACATCAGAAAGAGACCATCTACATTTTTTGGTCATGTGGTGAGAATTAGAAAACCAGAGTACTTCATGACATTAGGAAAGTTCGAGGGGAGGAGAAGCAGAGGGAGACCGAGAGAAAAGATGTTGGACAGCTTGACATCACAGCATGGAAGATCATCTGTGTCAAGAGTTGACTGAAAGTAAACTGGTTGTGGATAGACATGACTACCAAAGCCACACAGCATGAAAGATCATCTGTGTTAGATGACTGAAAGTACATGAGACTGACTACCAATGCCACACGGCATGGACTTTGAGAAGTCAAATGTGACTTCACTTTATTGAATCACATTTTAGGCTACCGTATATTTCTGTAAATAAGACAATATATTTTTGCAAATTGTTAATGCTTAAAATTGGAGGAAATCTTGTTTTTATGAAACATGTTTAAAATGTTTATTTCTTAATCGTGGGCTAAAAAGGGGGGGGGGGGGGGGGGTGTGAAGTAATCTCATACATGGGCGTGTCATATACACAAAAACAAATGCAACAGTAACTATCGAGCTCTGATCCTGCTTTTATTAACTTCCTTTGATGTCAGAGGGCATCTGTCTGAGAGGCAAGGAACCAGCAGTCTGCATACAAATAAACCAGATCTGTAAAACAGATATGCATACAAAACTCAAGTTCTGGAACAAGACTACCAGAAGTGGATGAACAACCAGAAATTTCCACTGGAGTTTACAGCTGTAGAACGCCAAAGGAAAAAAAACTGAACTAACAGAAAATGCTGGTGCATGTACATGTAGCTAGCCCACTGAACCACTCTTTTAAAGTTGCTTTCTTTCTGGACCATGCTTGTTTGTTAGTTAGTGGACAGATTATCCTCATTGCACATCGAACCATTCAGTCCATAAGTGCTCAGATCCCCTCCTCAGTAAACCCTGCAATGTGTAGCGGTGGACGACACCAGTTCTGTGTTGGTTTCTTGTTCCCTTTTGGCTTCCTGTATAGTGTTCTTGTCTGGCCACACCCCTGTTCACATCTTGTTTTTGAAGTCTGGTCATTGTTGCACATTCACACTCATCACTTGGTTTTTGCAAACGTCTTACTTCTTATAGAGCATTCTGAATATCAGCCTGGTCCATGGCTTGTCTGCCCTCCATACAACCCTTGTACTGTGTGTATGAAAATGTATGAAACTAACCGTGATCAAGGAATCTTATATGAGATATTATATTTTTGTCTACCCAATAGTTTGTTGTTTCCTGACCTACAGAGATACCTCACCTCCGCAATTTAAAATTGACAAATATTCACCTGCCAAATTGTACTTAATTTTTTTTTTTTCTGTTACTCTTTAATAACATTTTGGCAATCGTGCTTATTTTTTGCATTATTTGTGTATATTTTTATACTTGCAAAGATCAGTCTCAGCATCACACATGATTTGTTTGCCAAAGTGTATTTTAAATAGTTTTAAACTCCCATGACATCTGACAAACATTTGATCTATTTTTTTGTTGTTGCATCATTTATGCATATTCTGATGTACTTAAAAAAATCCATGCGTATTTGCAAATGTATTTTTACTTTTGTATAATTGTGTGTATAAATATAAATGTGAGATCTGACCAAAAGAGCACTGAAATGTTATGTCAAACTTTTCTGATGTACTGCAGTGACTTGCGACGTCTATGGCTTAGGCGTTGCGAGTCAGGTTGCGAGTCTGACTCGCAATTCCAACATATCGCTTTCAAAACCTACTGCTGGCTGCGTGCATTTTTATCATGGTATGGGGCGTCACAGGTCAACCCAGCCTTAACAAAAATATGGGTATCAGGATGGCTGTCCTGGGGAAGTAAAGATAGCCGGGCGTATTGCTGACCACATTACCCTCTTAGTGCCGATGGTTTGCAAAAAAAAAATAATAAAAGGTGGGGTGGGGGGCGTTCATCCTATATGCCCGATACGCCTAAAGGCGTGAAAAAAGATCGTCACTTTATTTACTGCAGGGACTTAGAGATTGCCAGTTACAGCTACAAAATCAAACCATTCCATTTGAAGTAATCGTTTCTGTTTGTTCTTTTTGTGTCAGGCATAGATTTAATCAAATTAAACTGTCATACAGCTGGGTTTTGTTCTTCACCAGTCATTTGGTTACAACTAGACAGGACTACGTTGTCTTCTGCTCAGTGAGTTGTCCCATTACATGTGTACAACAACAAACTGTCCCGTTACATGCATACACCCTAACTACCCAGGACTTCCACAACCATGAAAACACCACAATCGCTAAAACACTAGTCATTAAAACATAAACACCCTAGTCACTAAAACACAAACAGGAAAGCACTACAATCACTAAAACATGAATCACTTAAACATGAACATGAAAACACTACAATCATAAAAACGTGAACATGAAAACACTACAATCTCTAAAACATGAACACACTATAATCAAAAACATGAACATAAAACACTAAAATCACTAAAACATGAAAACACTACTATCATTAAAACATAAAAACACCAAAATCACTAAAATATTACAATCATCAAAACACAAACATGGAAACACCATAGTCACTAAAACACAAGTGGAAATAAAGCACTACAATCACTAAAACATAAACATGAAAACAATACAACCATTAAAATGCAAGGAAGCACTACAACCACTAAAACACAAACATTGAATCATTAAAACACTAGATACTAAAACACAAACATGAAAACATAAGCACAAAAACTCGACAATAACTAAAACATTGCAATCACTAAAATTCCACAATCACTACAACACAATTATGGAAATGCTACAGTAATGAAGACACAACAAATCCCAAAAAACCTGAAAATACCACATTTATGAAATATAATCATGTGACACTCACAAGCCTAAGTACACATGTTGTATTGACATTACCACATACCAGGAGTACGCATGATTATAGTTACAGATAGTGCGGACACCCTTCCAGACTAGTTGTCAGTTTTAACTTCATGGCAAAGCGGTCACCCTAAAACAGTGCTCCATTCCTGTCCCGGTGGAAATCGCACAGAATACTCACTGAGCCTTGTGGGAAAAATTGTCAGTCTCGACTAAGCCAATAGCATACAAACGCGTGAAATAAATAAGCTGTCAGGAGTGCCAGAACAAACAGTCCACTGGCAGAAATCTCTCCATCTATGATGGAGACAGCAGTTACAACTAACTAATCAGCTGCACGTGCAATTAATCACATCTGTTTACACGTAAGAAGAATAACAGCACAGTACACAGTTTATACTGAAAAAACAAAACACATAAGCTGTAATACTCGTATACGAGTAGCTTCATTCAAGACATCAAGAGACAACAGATCAAATGGTTCGGACATGTGTCAAGACACCATAAGACAGTGCAGCCCAGACAGCACTGTCACTGAGACACAAGAGAAGCACAGCTAGAGGTCGTCCACAAGTGAAAGACAGACGGAATATCCAAAGCTGTGAATACCAGCATCTATGTAGCACACTCTAAGGCTCACACTAGATACCTCTTCATAACCTGACACTGAAAGGCACAGCAGGGCCTACAGAATAGAAGATGTTTTCCCAAAGTTGTTAAAATGTAACACGGACAATGAATTTATAATGAGACTGAATAGCAAATGTATATGTTAAAAAGCAATAAAACTTTGGTAAAGCAGCAAATAAAATAAGGACATCAATTAATTCAACGGATCTCCAGCATGCCTTGTGTTTTCCCCCAGTGTACATTCTCTTAGACTGCGGTTTGTCTGTATTTTGATGTTATCCTCCTACATGCATCGCTGTCTGCCTCTTGCTCACTTGCCTTCAACTTTTCCCTCCAGCATGGCTCTTATAAGAGTATTATGTCTTCTAATATGGCCAAAACAATTGATTTGTCTTTTCTTTTTTTTTTAGTTTCTTCTGCAACTCTCTTTTAACACCTACACTTTTCAGAATATCTGTGGTTGAATGCTTTTGCTTCTAGTAGAGTTCTCTTTCTTCTTCTACTTTGGAGTGTAGAGTTACCTTTCTTTTTCTACCACTGAGTGTAGAGTTACCATTCTTCTTCTACAACCTATTCTTCTGTATACCCCCACATTTCTAGAGACTTAATTTGATTTTCTAGTTGCTTTTTCATTGTCCAGGTTTATGCACCATATAGCAGGGTTGGGAAGCGTAATATTTTACGATTTTCATTTTTATGGTGCTGTTTGTCTGTACCGACATCAGCTCATTAACCCTGCTATATGGTACAGGTATTCATGACTACTCTTATGTGCTAAAGACAGTTCCCATAACAAACACATTTTAATAAGTGTACACTTTACAATCTATAAACATTCTATAAATTAACAATCTCTGGTTGATAGCTCCACAATCTGTAAATACTTTAAATGACAAAACTCTGTTTCATGACTCCACAAACTATAAACTTTGTATAAATTACAATCTCTGACTGTTGACTGCACAATAATTAATTTCCGCTAATTTTCCCTAATCACTTTTCCCGACCTGAGTGTGATGTTTTGTCAACCATCCTGTCTGCCGCTGCTCCGTTTCCAAGAAACCCTGCAACAATGTTTCAATAGAAATCAGAATCAGCATTACTAAACTTCTGCAAATGAAACTGCCATATTTTTCTGTCTCCAGTCAGCTGGTGTGTTGGAAAATGAGCAGGCAGGCAGACTGGCCGGTTCTGCACCACTTGGCTGTGAACTGATGTATGACAAACTAGATGATGTGAAGGCCCTTTGGAAGCGAGTGAACAGTGCAGAGGCACAAACAGATCATTATGGTCTAAGGATAATGGCGCTGCGAGGAGTTAACAGGAAACCTGGCCGATGCACAACACTCAAGAGAAAGGCAAGACGGATGTACAATCAGACAGTTACTGGTACCATCAGAATTGGAACTCTTTGCTTGCTGCTGAAGATAAGGATAGAGTGCCTAAGGGAGTGTCCAGAGTGCTATGAAGTCATTTATTAATTCAACCTTCAACAAATGAAACTGCCATTACTGCCCAGATTTACCAATTATGGGATGCAGGCAGGGGTTTCTCTGGGACGTAGATTTAGGGCCACATGGCTAGTTCTATCGCCACAAACTTCAGGTTAGCATTTTATTTTTAGCCCTTCTCATGTGTTTGCCATGGTTGACAATTTCTGTTGTTTTATTCGCTGGTCAAAATGGTTGGTTGTATGTGTGATCCACTTTTTTTTTACTTCAATGAAATTCTGATTCCTAGTTTTGTCTTCTTCTGCTTCTTCATCATTTTTCTTCATCGTCATCATCTTTTCTTGTTGGTGGTTATGGTTCTTCTGCTTCTTTTTCTTCTTCTTCTTAAACTGGGACAGGGGCTCTCTATGGTGTGCTGTTATAAGAGTGGTCCATAAACTGGGACAGGGGCTCTCTATGGTGTATAGTGATAAGAGTGGTCCTTAAACTGGAACAGGGGCTCTCTATGGTGTGCTGTGATAAGAGTGGTCCATAAACTGGGACAGGGGCTCTCTATGGTGTATAGTGATAAGAGTGGTCCTTAAACTGGAACAGGGGTTCTCTATGGTGTGCTGTGATAAGAGTGGTCCTTAAACTGGGACAGGGGCTCTCTATGGTGTGTAGTGATAAGAGTGGTCCTTAAACTGGAACAGGAGCTCTCTATGGTGTGCTGTGATAAGAGTGGTCCTTAAACTGGGACAGGGGCTCTCTATGGTGTGCTGTGATAAGAGTGGTCCTTAAACTGGAACAGGGGCTCTCTATGGTGTGCTGTGATAAGAGTGGTCCATAAACTGGGACAGGGGCTCTCTATGGTGTATAGTGAAAAGAGTGGTCCTTAAACTGGAACAGGGGCTCTCTATGGTGTGCTGTGATAAGAGTGGTCCATAAACTGGGACAGGGGCTCTCTATGGTGTATAGTGATAAGAGTGGTCCTTAAACTGGAACAGGGGCTCTCTATGGTGTGCTGTGATAAGAGTGGTCCATAAACTGGGACAGGGGCTCTCTATGGTGTATAGTGATAAGAGTGGTCCTTAAACTGGAACAGGGGCTCTCTATGGTGTGCTGTGATAAGAGTGGTCCTTAAACTGGGACAGGGGCTCTCTATGGTGTGTAGTGATATCATAAGAGTGGTCCTTAAACTGGAACAGGAGCTCTCTATGGTGTGCTGTGATAAGAGTGGTCCTTAAACTGGGACAGGGGCTCTCTATGGTGTGCTGTGATAAGAGTGGTCCTTAAACTGGAACAGGGGCTCTCTATGGTGTGCTGTGATAAGAGTGGTCCTTAAACTGGGACAGGGGCTCTCTATGGTGTATAGTGATAAGAGTGGTCCTTAAACTGGAACAGGGGCTCTCTATGGTGTGCTGTGATAAGAGTGGTCCTTAAACTGGAACAGGGGCTCTCTATGGTGTGCTGTGATACGAGTGGTCCTTAAACTGGAACAGGGGCTCTCTATGGTGTGCTGTGATAAGAGTGGTCCTTAAACTGGAACAGGTGCTCTCTATGGTGTGCTGTGATGCGAGTGGTCCTTAAACTGGAACAGGGGCTCTCTATGGTGTGCTGTGATAAGAGTGGTCCTTAAACTGGGACAGGGGCTCTCTATGGTGTGTAGTGATATCATAAGAGTGGTCCTTAAACTGGAACAGGAGCTCTCTATGGTGTGCTGTGATAAGAGTGGTCCTTAAACTGGGACAGGGGCTCTCTATGGTGTGCTGTGATAAGAGTGGTCCTTAAACTGGAACAGGGGCTCTCTATGGTGTGCTGTGATAAGAGTGGTCCTTAAACTGGGACAGGGGCTCTCTATGGTGTATAGTGATAAGAGTGGTCCTTAAACTGGAACAGGGGCTCTCTATGGTGTGCTGTGATAAGAGTGGTCCTTAAACTGGAACAGGGGCTCTCTATGGTGTGCTGTGATACGAGTGGTCCTTAAACTGGAACAGGGGCTCTCTATGGTGTGCTGTGATAAGAGTGGTCCTTAAACTGGAACAGGTGCTCTCTATGGTGTGCTGTGATGCGAGTGGTCCTTTAACTGGAACAGGGGCTCTCTATGGTGTGCTGTGATAAGAGTGGTCCTTAAACTGGAACAGGTTCTCTCTATGGTGTGCTGTGATACGAGTGGTCCTTAAACTGGAACAGGGGCTCTCTATGGTGTGCTGTGATAAGAGTGGCCCTTAAAAAAAACAGACATTTTCTTTTGATAAGTGTTCTGATTTCTGGTAATGACAATGAATGGGCATGTTGTTTCTCCTTTGTTCCATTTTTTGCAAGTCTGTCTGCTAACTCATTTCCTGGTATGCTGCAGTGAGCCGGGATACACTGGAGAACGATAATGATGATACTGAAGATGAGGATGATGATGACATGGATGATAATGATGATGACGATGATAAACGTGTACCAACCTTCACTGCTGCTCCAACACCATTGAGATCTAGCAGAAAGGTATCATGGCCATACAAGGAATTGAGCTCATAAAATGTCACCTGCTCGTTACCTGTTGAACATACATACAAGAAATCAAATGAGGATAGCAATCGCTGCCTAAGGAAATTGATGAAAATTAAATGAGATGAATAACAGAAAGGAGTAGAAATAAAAGAAATGTCTGGACAACCACAGGTATCAACAGTTTTAAGACAAAGAAGACTGTAATACATTAGTCACATCCTGAAGAGAAAATGACAACAAACCAGCAAACAGACAGTGCAATAGGAAACAAATTGACTGAGAAAACAAGGATGTCCAAGAGAAACGCTTAGATGAATACTAATGAGTGCTGGACCGGATTCCATCCAAGATATTAGAGGCCTTCACAGGGACAAACAGAATGAAGATGCTGAGCTTTGGGAGTCAAAAACAAGTTCTAGTGAACCAAAAAGTTAAGATAAGATGCTAGCATTGAATAGGACACAGGCTACGAAAACCTGAGAATAATATAACTAGAATGTCTTTGCACTGGAACCCACAGAAACCAGTACAATTATCTTTATTTATTTACCGTGGTCAAAAGTCTGGATGGTCGTAAGTTGCATAGGTTGAAAGCATATGTTTTACCTGCTTTATGAAGTAAATTGGCGAGCTCCCGCTGCTGCCAGACCGGAAACAACATGTCCGTCTGGACTCCAATGACCATGGTTGGACACTTGACCCTTGAAAGTCCTTCTTCTAGAGAGCTGTAACCTTCAGCTATATCAAACATGTCCATTGCCTGAAATGATAAAGTACAGGGTGTTTGCAAAGTCTCACTACACTCTGCATGCAGAAAACAACTGAAAAATAAAGAACATGACATCATTTAAAAAAATGTGCTTTCAAATCATTAAATTAGTAACAATAGTCACTGCTACGGTCTAATGCTGTTTTGGGGAAACTGGAAAGTAGCAATGATCACATTCAACAGGTGTTGGAAATGTCCACTGCGGGTTTTAAGATATGACTGTAAACATCTCTTCATATCTTTAAATTACTAGCCTCCATGTGTGGGTTCCAGGGCTCTATTATAGGGAAAACCAGAATAGACCCACTGCCTGCCCAGAACAATGTTGTAAGATCTACTAATTGGGAGCTTCCTTCGAAGTCGGAGTGCATCTGCTTGAGAGGCAAGGAACCAACAGTCTGAATACAAATTAGTCATATCTGTCAAACGAATGCACACACAACACTCAGGTTTTGGAACTGGACTGCAGTCCAGAGGTGGACAAACAACCAGAACTTTCCGCCAGAGTTTACAGCCAGTGAACGCGAAGAAGAAATAACTATCCATGTGTATCAACTGCCATTTTGAAATATTTGTTTAACAAACAAACAAACACAAATTCTTTTTTTTTCACACTGATAACATATTCTGTTTTGAGTGCAAAGAATTACTACAGCCGACAACAGCCATTCCCTGCATAAGCCCACTTTGGGCAAATACAGCCTACATGTGTAACCACAGACAGCGTAGAATAAGCTCACCTTGGACATATTCAGCTTACATACGTAACAACAGATAACATAGAATAAGCTCACCTTGGACATATACATCCTACATGCGTAACAACAGATAACATAGAATAATTCCACCTTGGACATATACAGCTTACATGCATAACAACAGATAACATAGAATAAGCTCACCTTGGACATATACAGCTTACATGTGTAACCACAGACAGCATGGAATAATTCCACCTTGGACATTTACAGCCTACATGCGTAACCACAGACAGCATGGAATAATTCCACCTTGGACATATACAGCTTACATGTGTAACAACAGATAACATAGAATAATTCCACCTTGGACATATACAGCTTACATGTGTAACCACAGACAGCATGGAATAATTCCACCTTGGACATTTACAGCCTACATGCGTAACCACCGACAGCACCAAACAAAACTATCTCTAATATGTAACTTTGGACAGCCCTTTGTCTTCGTCCTCACAAGATAAGCTGGCAACCTGTGTTGCGGTTTACAGCTTAGCTGCACTCATTTAGCCTTAGATATCCAACTGCAACAAACTTCACTAATCAGTTGTCTTCTACAACATGGACACACACACACACACAAACACACAGTGAGATTCAGAACCCAAAGGGGAAGGGCAACACCAAACAAGCCTACTTTGGATATGTACAGAAGAGAGTTAGGGTCATATTTGGTGCTGAAACTTTCGCCTTGATGCTCCAGATAAGACTCAATCAGGAAGGTCGGACACAGGGAAGGAGGGTCATTGCTGATGCGGTTCCGGCCAAATCTTAGGTTCCATTCGGGCCCACTCCGGTATGTTATGGTTGCAATCTCTCTGGAAAGGTAAATGCACCCAGTCAGTTTTGAGATGAACATACTTTTGTTTTGACTGTGTTGTGTGGAGACATATTGTGTCATTTTGTTCTGTGTTGTGTGGAGACATATTGTGTCATTTTGTTCTGTGTTGTGTGGAGACATATTGTGTCATTTTGTTCTGTGTTGTGTGGAGACATATTGTGTCATTTTGTTCTGTGTTGTGTGGAGACATATTGTGTCATTTTGTTCTGTGTTGTGTGGAGACATATTGTGTCATTTTGTTCTGTGTTGTGTGGAGACATATTGTGTCATTTTGTTCTGTGTTGTGTGGAGACATATTGTGTCATTTTGTTCTGTGTTGTGTGGAGACATATTGTGTCATTTTGTTCTGTGTTGTGTGGAGACATATTGTGTCATTTTGTTCTAGTTATGTTTGTAAACATGTTACCTTAGACCTAAATAATGCAAGGATGTCTGTATTCAAAGACCAGATAAATGGGGGTTTCTTGTTTTGAGGGGCTTCGCTCCTGATGACACCTTTTCCTCTTTCCAGATGACAGGTGTTCTACTGTGGTAAAGGGTGGCATGTGAACCACAGCCTGTGGTGATATCAATAAAGGCCACACATACAGTTTTCCCTCTACACAGCACAAAGCCAGGGCAGTATTGTTAAGACCATGTATTGTCCATGCACCATGATTCCTGTCTCGGCCTGCTTTGTTAACTCCAAGGAAAAGGTAACACCAATATTTTTGGAACAAAGCATACTGCCAGATCAGAAGAGCAGCTCTGTGTCCCCCAATTAATTTAGCCAAATTAATTTATTCAAGGAGGGGGATTTGGCAGTTCGCCACTGCTGGACCCCTTTAGAAAAAAAAAAAAAGAAAAAAAAAAAAAAGCATACTGCCAGATCAGAAGAGCAGCTCTGTGTTCCCCGATCAAAGTTTTCCCCAGAGACAAGACCAGCTGACAACCAAGGCTAACGGTCCAGTCTGCCCTACCATAATATTATGTTTTCAGGTCACATTTCCTCGTCCCAAGATAAAGAGCCTATCCTCCACTAGTGGATTAAAGGTTGAAAAAAAAGACACTGTTTTATCTATGTGCTACAGATCACTCTTTCAGTACGAGAAGATCTTGTTTTAAATACTAAGGGAGACAGACAATGAAAACAGCATGAGTGTATAACTTTTAAAGAGACAACATATTGGCTAGTATGGTGTTTTCCCCCGTGTGGGTCCGGGAGCCCTATGGTGGGGTCAACAAGAATAACCCAATGACCTCCCCAACAAGCAGGTCACAGGAGTCCACTAATTGGGAACTGTGTGCATCTGCCAGAGGGGCCAGGAACAACCAAAAGCATACAAATAAGTCAGTAAAATGGATGTACACACAAAACTCAAGGCAAAGTCCAAATGAATGAACAAACAGGACCTTCTGTTGCAGCTTACAGCCAGTGAACAAAGAAGAAGAAGAAGTATGCTGTTATGTAAGCAAAAGTAGCCAGCATGCTCAACCAAATGTTAAGTTTAAAATTACTCCCTGTTCATTGTTTGATTCATCACAATTATAGCTGATCACATACAGTATGTTGGTTTGGACAGAAAGAGTTCAGAAAATAAAGAATAGCAATACTGTAATCTATCAGGATGATGTAAGTGGTCTGTCTTTCCCTCTTCTACTACTGTTTTGTCCAGAGATTACGACTGTCTCCAATGCTTCTTTTTTCAACCAGACATATATGGCCATAGGTTGTCAATTGAATAACCCTGTTTTACAGCAATCCTTCCCTGTGGAAGTGGCACATGACTGACTGGCTGACTGGCTGATTAAAGGTTACAGTCGAGAGGATTGCCTTCAACGCACTAGGTCTTATCTCGTTTGGCAAAGTCTCTCTCTGCAGAAAAGCTAGCCGCCTGCCTAAACCATTGCACAAAGCACAGACAGCATAGCTCTGGAGATAATGCCGCAGGGGTCTCCCTTAACACTGCACTCATGAACCAAACGATGCAGCCATGAAACAAACACACAACCCTTAGAGCATGAGGTAAATGGCTTGACCACTTCACCATGAAGACCCCTTTGGCTTAGCTTGCATTGCGGGAAAAAGAATTGTCACCTTCAACCAGCATCCCTGATGGGGGAGCTTTTGGTTATAATTGTGACTAAGGTATGTGCTCCATATAAAATGGCTAAGCTTTGCTCGCCACCAAGTAGCTATGAAAAGAACTCTTGAAGTGTTGATACCATAAAAGGAGACAGACCTAAATACTTTCCCGACTGGCGATGAAGTTGTAGCCTATGGGCTACCCGTTCGCCGATGAGAGAGCCCTATATGACTGGTTTATTTATTTGTATCACACGCAGACAGGTAAACGTTAACTGTAACCTTACCTGGCAAGTTTCATGCCAATCTTGGGATAGGCCTTGCCATAATAGTGTCCGTTGTTCCAGTTGGGGTCGCACATGATACACTTCCTCTGCAGATATCTCATGGCAATGGAGGACGGGTGAGACTGAGCACAGGCAGAAATGCTGACTAATCTGTAGGGAGTCCAACAGAACAAAACAAAAGTAATCAGAGCTGACACAAACAACATTTATATATTGAATGATGAATGCTGAAATAAGAATCAACATCACAGCACACGGGACACCCCCATAAGCACTCTGTCCCCATCTTCGGCAGCAAGGGTTAAAATTCCGACAATACAAGTAACTGTCTGATTTTATTTCCGTCTGGCTTTTCCCCTGAGTGTTGAGTGTTGGCCAGCTCCCCTTGTAACTCTTTGCAGTGCCATTCTCCTCAGACCGTAATGATCTATCTGTGCCTCAGCACTGTTCACTCGCTCCCAAAGGGCCCTCAGAATATAATGCTTGTCATTCATCAGTTCATCACCATGTTGTGCAGAACCGACCAGTCTATTTGCCTGCTCATTTCCCAAGACACCGGCATCACCTGGAGAAAATATCCAAAGGATGCTAACTACCCTGGACCTTTGAAGTGATGCTTGCCACTCTGTATGGAGCATGCCTGTCTCTACCTTTCTCAGCATGCTCTTTAGACACTGACAGCACTGAGAGAATAAAACTAGCCACTGGTGCTTGAATCTCCTCTTACATATCACATCAGGCAGTGAAATTATTAGTTCATGTTCACGTTACACATCGCAAGCCATTCTATCAAATAACAGTCAAGGCACTTTGGGAACAAGCAATGGAATCAGTAGAGAAACAAGATTATTATGGCCTGAAAAGAATGTGCCACCTGGGTGTAACCAGAGGGTCTGACCGGCTCACTACACTCAGAGGAAAGGCAAGACGGACATACAACCAGATTGTGACCGGTACCATCAGTACTGGAACTCTGCGCTGGCTGCTGAAGATGAGGACGGAGCACACATGAGTGCTGTGATGTCAATTCTTGACTTAGCTCAACTCTATCAAATAACATTGTACTATCTCAGCTTAATCCATTTCACGGTTCATCATCATCATCATTTCACCAGGAAAAAAACCATTCAAATAATAGCAAACATAAAAATTATGAGATATTATTTATATTAGAATAAGATTCTACAGACATTCCAGTCGAAATTATTGATCAACTTTGTCGACTTCCAAAAAGCCTTCGACAGTATCCATCGTCCAACACTCTGGAAATTGCTTAACATCTATGGTTTCCCCATCAAATATATCAACATCATAAAATCTTTTTATAATGAAACACGATGCTGTGTAAGAACTGATTCCGGCAATTCTGACTGGTTCCCGGTGGAAACAGGAGTGAAGTAAGGCTGTGTCCTATCGCCGATGCTTTTTGGTATAGCAATCGACTGGGTCATGCGCAAGTGCATAAATAACGCAAATTTAGGCATTACATGGGTTGACAAAATTCTGGAAGACCTAGACTTCGCCGACGACATACCGCTCCTGAGTTCAGAACACACAGTCGCCCAAGAAAAAATCAATCGACTCCAGAATTTCTCAGAACAAACTGGACTCCAAATTAACACCGCAAAAACAAAAATTCTAGACCTTACCAACAGTTCAGTTGATATCACGCTGAACAACAACAGCCTTGAAAAAGCCAACAGTTTCACTTATCTAGGGAGCAAGATGTCATCTACAGGAGATACCGCACCAGAAATACCATTTAGAATAGCACTGGCATCTAGTGCCTTCAATAAACTGTCCAACATCTGGAAATCAAAGACACTTAGCAAACACACAAAACTCAAGATCTTCAATTCTTGTGTGATTCCAGTACTAACCTATGGATGCGAGAGCTGGAAATCAATGAAAACTCTAGACACAAAATTAAACAGTTTTGAAAATAAATGCCTTAGAAGAATACTAAAATTCAAATGGTCAGATTTCCTAACCAATACACAAATAAGGCAAGAATCCAGGCAAGAGTATGTGTCTAATTTTATACGAAAACCCCGCTGGAACTATGTCGGCCACGCCCTTAGAATGGATAAATCAAGACTTCCTTACCAAGCCCTCATTTGGACACCACAGGGGAAAAGATCTCGTGGAAGACCAAGGAAAACTCTTCGTAGAACTATCATCAGGGAAGGCTCGCTCATGGGCCACTCAAACATCCAAGACTACAACAGATTGCAACGAACCGCCATGCATGGAGAGTCATGACCTCTGCCCTATGTGCCGCACTCGACACAAGAGGAAAGACTAACTAACTAACTAACTAATTTATAAAATCTCTACAACTGTTCACATGATGCTATGTAAGAAAGATGCTGGTGAAAACACTTGTTTAGCCTTACACCTTGTTGGCACTGTGTTCTTCATTTGCCTTTCTAGCCCCCAATGGAGCACAGGCTCTCAACCAACTCATGGAATGTCGTTCGATCGTTCACCATGGCATGCAGCTCTCCCCATGTCCTCCCCCATCCCCTCAACTTCACTCTCTAACTCCCCTCTCCATGAGTTTTTGTTTTGTTTTTGGTCTTTCCTCATATCCATGCCCCTGTGGGTTCCAGTGCATAGACATTCTAGTTTTATTGTTCTCAGGTGACGACAATATTAAATTGTGCTTTATGGAGGCACAAGAATCACAGCTCGTGGTGAAGGGGAGTGTGACAAGCAAGACCCGCCAGCGTTAAGAAAAAAGTCTTCCACAATCAGTGCATGGATTTCAAGGCCGTTGTTGCCATCGTATTATCTAGTGTGCTTCTTCTTAGATGCCCAGCTCTTATCCTTTCTGCAGTATTTCTGTCCTTTATTCCCTCTTCCTTCCTGATTTCCCTCCTCTATGAAACACGGTCAATGGCATTTTGTTCCTATGAGTCTACCTCAATACCTGTATCATTCATGTCCCATTTGCACACAACTTTATATTGTAATAGAGGCCATCCTTGACATCAACAGTTTCAGCTGGGCCTTACATGTGTAACATGGCACAATGCTCACCTTCCAACTCGGTCGGGGTGGGTGACCGATGTCTGCAATGACAGCATCCCACCCAAGGATGAACCAACAGAAGCATACAACTGTAGAAAAAATATGTACCATGTTTAATGTGCAATTAACAGCTTAAAGCAGGTGATTCTTCTTCTTCGTTTTCCTCGTCTTTTTTCTTCTTCTTCTTAGCGTCCACAGGCTGTAAACATAGGTGAAAAGTTCTGGTTGTTTGTCCACTTCTGGACTTTGGTCTTGTTCCAGAACTTGGGTTTTGCATGCATATATATATTTTACAAATCTGGCTCAATGATAAGCAGGCTTTTGGTTCCTGTCCTCTCAGGAAACAACCCTAATTAGTCACTCTTTTACAACATGCTTGTTATGGGTGCAGTGGGTCTATCCCCCCCCCCCTGTCCCCCAAATGGGGACCTAGAACCCACATTAAGAAAGCTGGCAATTGAGAACTGTAAGTAAACAAAAGAGTGGATAGGTTGAGACAAGAACACTGACCTAATCCATGATTCTGGTCATGTGGGATGGTAAGCCAGACAGCCTACACTTAATAGCAGGGTAAAAAGAAATCTCTGGAATGGGCCCTTCTTTTCGCTTCGTATATAGTACTTTTTAGCATCTTTGATATTTGTGCGGTCCACATTTAGTATAGTGGACCTCTGGCTCTGTTATTGCTGTATCTGCATAACACTGCTCTCTGTGGTGCCCTGTCTGATGCCAGTCTTGTTATATGGCCAAATCATTTGACCTGCTGTCTGGTTATAAAGTTCAGTATTGGTTCTGTGCCGACTCTACTCCTGTTATCATCGTTCCTAAGTTAATCTTTCCTTGTTACATCTGGTATAGAACGTAAACATTTCACTTCTGTTATATTTTCCTTCTGTTATATTTTCCTTCTGTCCCAATAAATATAAATCACCTGAATAAAAACGATCCTTTACTTTACTATGATATATATGACATATCTTGGTGGGGGATGTTTGCAAATTTTCAACATATGGACTTCCTAGAAACAAACCACACAACAGCTCCTTCTTTGTTCTTTTTCTTTTGTTCTCCCAAAATAGATTATCTATATCTGCAATGCTGTCTCTAGTATGAACTTCACTGTCTTTTGTAATTCACTCAGCGAGGCGCAAAGTTTGGCTTGAACCAGTGTTTCTCTTGGCCAAAAGTTTTGCCTTGATATGCTGTATTTGGGACAGTCTTGGAGGAGGTGATCCCTTATCTTGGTGCCAATCCATATGAGCAGTTTTTTCAAATTGGACAGTGAGGGACATTTCATTTGATTTTCACTGGCACAGGAATGGAATAAGTATGGGGAAACCTGACTGCAGTGAAGTTGAAACCTCGACTAAGACTTAGACACATGTGCACAGGGCTAATTTGCCAATCTTACATTTTGTGTATATGTGACTGCGAAATCAACTGCGCCCTGTCCTAAGGCGTAGAATAAAAACCTGCTGTGGTAATATGATAAAGGTCGTGTGAAACAGACAAAAACACACTCAGTCGTACCTTCTTGATTCCAAGTTCATCCAGAAGCAAGAAGATAGCATTTGTCATGTCCTCCACTCCAATGATGGGGAAGGTTGTGGCATACGGCTGTGATTCAAAGAATCCAAATACTTTTAAGAGGATATGATCATCATACGCATCAATATCATTATCATCTTCCCACCATCCCCATCATCATCCATATCATCATCATCAACATCGTTATCATCTTCCCATCATCGACATCATCATCCATATCATCATCATCAACATCATTATTATCATCATCTATATCATCATCACCAACATAATTACTATCATCACCACCACCATCATCATCATCATCATTACCACCATCATTACCATTGTCATCATCCATCATCATCTTCACCATCCATCATCATCATAGTTGCATAATACCAAGCACTGTTGGGCCACCAGTTGTTGCTGACAGTCAGACAGTTCCCTCCACATCTGTCAGTCAGATACAATCGACTTGATGTTTGCATATTCAAGGCCTGCCTGTCCAATCAGCCAAATTTGGTGTCCAGGTCTTTCTTTGACTGCTTCTTCTCCTCTTCCCCTCTACAGAATCGGTAACCCATTGCAACCCTTTGGGAGTAAAGTTTGTTCATTCACTCATTTGTTTGGTAACGATATTTCTTTACCACTGCATGTTACATTGTTGCTAAAGAAGATTCTTACTCACCACTGTGGCAGCAACTCACAGCATACAAATACCTTTAAGAGGTTATAATATATAAATAAATCTTACTGGCTTCAGAATGTTAAAACATGCTGTATGTGAAAACATACAAGAAAATACAAGATAACATCAAGAAACCGAAGAAGAACAGTCTACTAACATCAGGAAACTGAAGAAGAACAGTCTACTAACATCAGGAAACTGAAGAAGAACAGTCTACTAACATCAGGAAACTGAAGAAGAACAGTCTACTAACATCAAGAAACTGAAGAAGAACAGTCTACTAACATCAGGAAACTGAAGAAGAACAGTCTACTAACATCAAGAAACCTGAAGAAGAACAGTCTACTAACATCAGGGAAACTGAAGAAGAACAGTCTACTAACATCAAGAAACTGAAGAAGAACAGTCTACTAACATCAAGAAACTGAAGAAGAACAGTCTACTAACATCAAGAAACTGAAGAAGAACAGTCTACTAACATCAAGAAACTGAAGAAGAACAGTCTACTAACATCAGGAAACTGAAGAAGAACAGTCTACTAACATCAAGAAACTGAAGAAGAACAGTCTACTAACATCAAGAAACTGAAGAAGAACAGTCTACTAACATCAAGAAACTGAAGAAGAACAGTCTACTAACATCAAGAAACTGAAGAAGAACAGTCTACTAACATCAGGAAACTGAAGAAGAACAGTCTACTAACATCAAGAAACTGAAGAAGAACAGTCTACTAACATCAAGAAACTGAAGAAGAACAGTCTACTAACATCAAGAAACTAAAGAAGAACAGTCTACTAACATCAAGAAACTGAAGAAGAACAGTCTACTAGAGAGTTCAATCAAAATGACAGGCAGAAAGTTCATTCAGCAATGTTGCAAGGTTTAAGATAATATCAAGATCTGTAAAGTAAGGGACCCTTTTCCTTTCTTTAAGGGACAATGGGCATATAGGGCTAGACCTATTTTTTATAGACCAATTGTCTTCCGGTGGATGATTTGGTCAACATTATGCTGCCCGCCTGTACTTCTCAGAACTCTACCTGGACCCATTTAAGGCCAGGTCGAGCTGGGAGCCAGGGACAATTTTTGAAAAGAGTCCGACTCTATCAGGACTTGAACCCACAACCTTCAGATCTGCAGGGGAGCGTCCAGCAGTGACATCTTGGCGGTTCCCTTACCAAGATCAGCCTCCATCTTAATAAAATTCTGATGTTTTAACTGTGCAGGACAGAAAGAAATTTATCCAGTGTATATTATTATTTTATCCAAACTTATTGTGTGACTTTGTGGCTAAGAAGTTAGTGAACGTGCTTCACAATTTCATGATCCTGGAGTAAGTAAAAGTAAAGATCCCTTTTCAAACCTTTAGGAGTATCAGGCTTATGGGAAGAGCACCCATATTTTTACAGACCAATCGGCACTCAGTGGGTAATGTGGTCAGTATTACGCGCGGCCGTCTTTACTTCCCCAGGACTTACATCCTGGTACCCATTTTAGGCTGGTTCGACCTGCGACACACCATACCATGATAAAAATGATCCTGGAGTACCAGGGTTACATTTCCAAGGCGGTTTATTTGAAAAAAAAAAAAATTTCCTTTTTTCCTGATTTTGTGTCAACAGTAAAAGAATCTAATGTCAAAATAGTACTTTTGTATGGGGCGGAAACATGGAGAACAACTAAGGCAATTACTAATAAATTACAGACATTTATTAACTGGTGCCTGCGCAGAATAGAGGGAATTAAATAGTATGATAGAATAACCAATGTAGAGCTTTGGGAGAGAACTAAACAGGCTCCAGTGGAACAAAAGGTGAGGACAAGATGCTGGCGTTGGATAGGACACACACTGAGAAAATAGGAGAACAACATAACTAGAATGTCTTTGCATTGGAACCTACAGGGGCATAGGAATAAAGGAAGGCCAAAAAACACATGGAGAAGAGAGCTGGAGAATGAAGTTAGAAAGATGTGGAGGACATGGGGAAAGCTCCATGCAAGGCTAGAATGACTTGGCGTGAGTTGGTTGTGGGCCTCTGCTCCATTGGGGGATAGAAAGGCAGAAGAAGAAGAAGTAAAAGAATCATACCATGGGAGATTCGGGTGCTCACCAATTATTATTCTTAGGCATGTGAAAGCTATTGAGCCATTTCTTTTTGTGCTTTTAATTCGACCAAGTCTCACTGTCGCCAGGAAGAATACTGAGAACATAAGTCAGACAGACTCACCCTGTAATATTCCCAGAGACAGTAGAGGGTGCACAACAGCCAAACCTTCAGTGGGAAGAAGTCAGATAGACTCACCCTGTAATATTTACAGAGACAGTAGACACTGTACAACAGCCAAACCTTCAGTGGGAAGAAGTCAGACAGTCACCCTGTAATATTCCCAGAGATAGTAGACACTGTACAACAGCCAAACCTTCAGTGAGAAGAAGTCAGACAGTCACCATGTAATATTTACAGAGACAGTAGACACTGTACAACAGCCAAACCTTCAGTGGGAAGAAGTCAGACAGTCACCCTGTAATATTTACAGAGACAGTAGACACTGTACAACAGCCAAACCTTCAGTGGGAAGAAGTCAGACAGTCACCCTGTAATATTTACAGAGACAGTAGACACAACAGCCAAACCTTCAGTGGGAAGAAGTCAGACAGTCACCCTGTAATATTTACAGAGACAGTAGACACAACAGACAAACCTTCAGTGGGAAGAAGTCAGACAGTCACCCTGTAATATTTACAGAGACAGTAGACACAACAGCCAAACCTTCAGTGGGAAGAAGTCAGACAGTCACCCTGTAATATTTACAGAGACAGTAGACACAACAGCCAAACCTTCAGTGGGAAGAAGTCAGACAGTCACCCTGTAATATTTACAGAGACAGTAGACACTGTACAACAGCCAAACCTTCAGTGGGAAGAAGTCAGACAGTCACCCTGTAATATTTACAGAGACAGTAGACACTGTACAACAGCCAAACCTTCAGTGGGAAGAAGTCAGACAGTCACCCTGTAATATTTACAGAGACAGTAGACACAACAGCCAAACCTTCAGTGGGAAGAAGTCAGACAGTCACCCTGTAATATTTACAGAGACAGTAGACACTGTACAACAGCCAAACCTTCAGTGGGAAGAAGTCAGACAGTCACCCTGTAATATTTACAGAGACAGTAGACACTGTACAACAGCCAAACCTTCAGTGGGAAGAAGTCAGACAGTCACCCTGTAATATTTACAGAGACAGTAGACACTGTACAACAGCCAAACCTTCAGTGGGAAGAAGTCAGACAGTCACCCTGTAATATTTACAGAGACAGTAGACACAACAGCCAAACCTTCAGTGGGAAGAAGTCAGACAGTCACCCTGTAATATTTACAGAGACAGTAGACACTGTACAACAGCCAAACCTTCAGTGGAAAGACGGCACACAATATTTAATGAACTTTTAAAGAAAAAAAACTATCCTACCTTGCCAGTTAAAACGTTTGTCGAAGATGGACCTCTGAAACAGAAAATCATACAATACAGATAAAAACTGGCCACTGAACAATGAATACAAACAAGATATTGTACAGTGTCAGCCTGGCATTTGTTCTGTATATTGTCAGGTGTATCCTATAGAAATCTGACAACTTATAATAAACTTTTACAAAATAAATCTGCTATTTTAATGACACAATGTTTGCAAGATTATCAAATTATTCACAGCATAATTTCTACCATAATCACAAAACAAGTCAAAGCAATATTTGAAGTAATACTCAACGTGGGCCCCATTGAGGAGTAACCGAGAATAGTCCCAATGCCTCCCCAGCAAGCATGTCCTAAAAGTAAACTAATTGGGGGTTCCCTTCGAATCTGAAGTGAAACTGCCTGAGAGGAACCAACAGTCAGATCTGTAAAATGGATGTGCACATAACAACCAGATTCTGGAAGATCAAAGACTAGAGGTGACTAACAACCAGAGCTTTCCACTGGAATTTACAGCCGGTGAATGCAAAGAAGAAAGAAAGAAGAAACACAAAACAATATTTTATGCAACGTCTGACGTGGCTGAAGAACAACTTTCCACCAGAAATCCATGTATTTGTAGACGTCCATTACTTCATCAGGTCTACTTGCTGTAAACTCTGGTTGGTTATTCACCTCTCTGGCAGATGTTCTCTGACTCTGAAAGAAAAACTCTGGTTGGTTCTTCAACTCTGAGGCAGATGTTCTCTGACTCTGAAAGAAAAACTCTGGTTGGTTCTTCAACTCTTGAGGCTGATGTTCTCCGACTCTGAAAGAAAAACTCTGCTTGGTTCTTCAACTCTGAGACAGATGTACTCCGACTCTGAAAGAAAAACTCTGGTTGGTTCTTCAACATTGAGGCAGATGTTCTCCGACTTATGGGTGAAAGAAACACCCATAAATAGTTGTCTTTTACAACATGCTTGAAGGGGGTGGGCAATGAATCTATTCTTTTTTTTTTTCCTTCTGCCTACACTGGGGCCCTGGAATTCACAAGGAGGATCTACAGACAAATGAATAGAAGGGATGTATGAGTGCTGAACTACAAATGGTGGTATCTACAGACAAATGCACTGTTTCTGGAAGAATAGAAGGGATGGTTGAGTTGCTAAACCACATGCGGTGGTGCAGGGCATCATGTCTCCTACTGGTCCACACCTGCCTACACCTCTCTGCAGTCATTGTAGAAACAAGTTCCCTGACATTTTCTTAAAAGTCGATGTGCATCTGTGAGGCAAAAGGCGATAGTATGTGCACAAAGTAAGCCTGACCTGTAAAATGGCTGTGCATGCATCTCCAAAGTCCTAAAACATGAAAAACGTTTAGAAGTGGATGAACAATCAGTACTTTCTGCCAGAATTTACAGTTGGTGAACGCAAAGAAGAAGGAGGAGGAGAAGAAAGATGAGGAAAAGAAGAAGGAAAAGAAGAAGCAGGAGGAGAATGAGGAGGAGAAGAAGGAGAAAAGGGAGAAGAAGAAGGAGAAGGAGAAGAAGGAGAAGGAGAAGAAGAAGGAGGAGAGGGAGAAAAAGAATGAAAAGAAAAAGAATGAAAAGAAAAAGAAGCAGGAGAGGGGGAGGAGAAGAAGAAGAAGAAGAAGAAGAAGGAGGAGGAGATAGAGGAAGATAAGGAGGATAAGAAGATGAAGAAGAAGAAGAAGATGAAGGAGGAGGGGGATGAGAAAAACAAAAAACAGAAACAGACCAGCATGAAGGATACTGGAAACATCCTGGAAATGGAAATACCAGCAAGAGAATCAGCGCAGGGTTGAGGGCTTTTCTGATATGACCTGATGACAAACATCTTCCTGCAAATGAAACTACTACACGATGATGGTGTTTCTAGAGTTTCAAATCAAAATTTCAAAAAACTAAACAGAGGAATTACTTATAATTTCTACTTAAGCAAGGGGGGAAAAGAACTTACGAAGTTCCATAACAACTTCCAAGGTTGTTGGGGCAGATGACGAAGAATTTGCTGGTGTCGACTGCACATCCAGGGCCGATAAATTTCTCCCACCATCCTGGATTCATGTTATCCTGAAATATTACAAGTTTGTTTTGTAAACTGCTAAATAAGACATTTCTTGGTCTGTATGGGTTGGTCATGCCTGGCACTGCAGCCAGCAGTGTTGGGGCAGCTAACTCTGCTTGAAAGGTGGTAAGTTAAAGCTAGTAGCCTGCTGCTGTCCCATGATCACACATGTCAACCCCGCCTTCCTGTGGTGCAGATTGATAACTTATGTCCCATGATCTGCCATCCATTTCCGAGCTAACCTTGCCAAAGTGCCAGGAGGCATTCAGCAAACATGTCCAAGCCATTTCCATCTTCTTCCTTTGGTAACACTTGCCAGTGATGAAAATTGTGTTTTTCTTCCTCAGTTCTCCATCTGTGATCTTGTTTGGCCAAAATATTTGCAGAATTCTTCTTTTTCTTGTTCTTTGCTGGCTCCAGTGGAAATTTTTCGTTGTTCGCCCATTTCTGGACTTTGATCTTGTTTCAGAACTTTTTTGCATGCACATGTGTTTTTATTCCTAATCTCTCAGGCTGATGCCCTCCGATTTCAAAGCAAGCTCCCTTATTAGTTGACTTTTAAGATATGTTTGCCCTCCGATTTCAAAGCAAGCTCCCTTATTAGTTGACTTTTAAGATATGTTTGCTCTCCGATTTCAAAGCAAGCTCCCTTATTAGTTGACTTTTAAGATATGTTTGCCCTCCGATTTCAAAGCAAGCTCCCTTATTAGTTGACTTTTAAGATATGTTTGCCCTCCGATTTCAAAGCAAGCTCCCTTATTAGTTGACTTTTAAGATATGTTTGCCCTCCGATTTCAAAGCAAGCTCCCTTATTAGTCGACTTTTATGATATGTTTGCCCTCCGATTTCAAAGCAAGCTCCCTTATTAGTTGACTTTTAAGATATGTTTGCCCTCCGATTTCAAAGCAAGCTCCCTTATTAGTTGACTTTTATGATATGTTTGTTTGGGGTGGGGGGGGGGGTGGGGGGGGGGGGGAGGGGCTAAACCCCCACCACAATGAGGTTCATGAAACCCACACCGGGAGTTTTTCTATAACTTCATTTTTTTTAGCACAGGAACAGGAACAGGAACAGGAACAGGAACTTACCACTGAGCTCCTAGCATGGGAACTGGCAGACAAACCAGCCAGCACCAACACGGCATTGCTGGCATCCTCGTTGAGCTGGCCCCAGGTTTCGTAGGCGACCTCCAGCTGCGGCAGGACCCCATCGTTGAGCTTCAGGGAGAACGGCTGTTTGCGTACAAACAGTTTGTAGCCTTTGGTGATGTTGTCGTACTCTGGTTCTGGACCGGAATCTTTTCTGTGGGAAAAATGCAGAATCATTATCATTCCCTTTTACTGTGTGCACTCAGTTCAATATCATGGAGGGAATTCAGTCCATCACCCCTGGCCTCTCTTATCAACGTTCATTTTATGGTTTCTTTTGAACCTCCTCGCTTCTTCAAAACCTTTATTTCCCATTTTAGTGCCTATTTGGTGATTCTCTGTTTGTTTCTTCACATGAAGCGTCCAATATAGCGCCATCTTCTCTGTCTTATAACTGCTGCTACCAGTGGTTGCCCAGGAATTTCTCTGATTTCTCCACCTTTCGTGATTTTCATCCCATGTTATCATCCACATGTGCCGTGCTGATAAGCACAGGTGCTCTTGGTTCACCCCTTCAGACAATCTTCATAATTACAGATCAGGCCTGTGTTCTTGCCCTGCCCATGCCATGTGGTCAGACCAACCAGGTATATATCTTTTTAATCATCTCCTTGTTTTTCTTCTTCTTCTTCTTCTTCAGCATTCCGAGCTCTTAAGGTTCACTGCCATCTCTCTAGTTGGTCTTCTCTTTCCATTTGGTGACACCAAGTGTTTGCAGGTCTGTCTGGACACCTCTTTGCTTTCAAAAAAATTTTTTTTTTTTAAATTTACTTTTAATCCTGTTTGCTAGTTGTCACTAAGTTTTTAAGTCTAATTCACCTCATAACAGCCCCCCCCCCCCCCCACCCTTGCCTATCCCCCGCCCTTCCCCCGCCTTTCTAAATTATAATAAAATCCTAGCCAAAAAGGGTGACTTTTTTCATCAAGTATGACTCCAGAGTCAACAAAACCTCATACAAGTGATACCAGACATCACGTTAGCACTTCTGATACCTCAGCGGAGGCTGAGTGGTCTCCAGGCATGGTGTCCGCCTCAAGTGCTAGAGTTCCTGGACACACCCCCTGGTGAAGGGTTGCGATTTTTTCACGTGGACTTCTAGTAATTTCCCCTGGTCTCTGGGTAGTAAGACCAGATGCCAATGTGTATTGTTGCGCACGTTAAAAAAAATCCCTTGGCAGTTGGAAATCGAAAATAGTAGCCTATCGGCACTGCCCGGGCAAAATCTTCCTAAAGTATTTCAGGATCCCCACCGGTGCAACAGAGTTAAAAGAAGAACGGAGCGCTTCTAGGTTACATCCGTGTGCGATGATGTTGATTGGCTAAATAAACATAAACATTCTGATACCTCAAGTATGCATTTAAAGTGTTTGTATATTGGATTTGCTGAGAATGCAGTCTGTTTCAACTTTTTCCACAAGGGACGGTGATAAAACTTCTGTGTGGTCTTTCCTGGCACAAGCATGGATCAACTTTGTGTTCCCCTTTTGCTGAAAAGTTAGAATTGTCTTCTTCTTCTTCTCTTCCACCTTGTACCTCATCGAAGTGTTGGGGGAGATGTAATGTTCGTTGATGAGCTCTGTCAAGAGCACTATTAAGACTGATGTTCATTTTTGTAAGGCTGTTCTTAATGCCATCACTCCATCTTTTCCGAGGTCTTCCACTGGCTCTATACCCGTTGTAACGTTTTAGTGTACCTAAAAGGTAAAAAAAAAAAAAAAAAGTTACAGTCGGGAGATGTGAACCAGCATCACTGCAACACGGTTATAAACCCAAAGTGCTCTGCCACCAGTACGGACAGCTGGTAAGAAACTGTCTACCTGTGTCACCCTCCACACGCAACTTCGTAGCTACAGCAACGTTCCTCCATTTACCCCAGAGTGTTAACTCTGATACCTATTACCTAGAGGCTCAGTGAACCCCGGGAACTGCTCGGTTTCGAACACCGGCCGAGGGCTGCAGCAAGTCGCAGCTGGATTTGAAAGCCAGTCTCCTATTACCTGCACTAATGCAGCCCCTGTAACTACCTAATTAGAGTACCGCAAAGGACCCTTTTCCACGCCTTTAGGTATACTGAACATATAAGACCTATATTTTACAGACCAAAGCGGCACTCAGTGGGTGATATGGTCAACATCATGTCAGCCACCTTTACTTCCCAGGACTTTACCTGGCACCCATTTAAGACTGGGTCGACCTGGGAGCCAAGGTATTTTTGAGAAAAAGTCTTGCTGATTACCTGATTAAAACTGATTACAATGACTCACACTCTGGACAGACATGGAAAATTTGTCTCCAGTCCTTTAAATGCTCGATGCTGGGGTGGCACCTCTCCCAGATGAGATTCTTCAGGCCGTGGGGTTTCAACCTAGGGAACATATTTGTTTAAAAATACAATAACAACAAGTCACCCAACCTGTTAACTCTTTCAGAACCAAAATTTTTTTTCAAACAGGTTAAAGTCGAGAGGATCGATGTCACTACACCGGGTTTTATCCCATATGGTTTGGTCTCTCTCTGCAGAACAGCTAGCTGCATGATGAGAGCGCACCACAGAGCACAGACTCCGTAGCTCCGGCAATGATTCCCAGGGATCTCCATAAAAATTGAACCCATGAAGTGAACGGCGCAGCCGTGAAATAAACCCACGACCATCATAGCGTGAGGCAAACTATTTGGCCACAGGGACCCCCAGAAGGTTTCAATGCAGATGTTCAAGGTAAAGACATAACCATGATGTGGAAATATGTACAGTAGTAATTACACTGGAGAAGCCAGATTTCTTCAGTATGTTCTGACTAAATGTTAAATGTAAGAGATCATGGAGGGAAATCAAAGAATGGTGTCACTCACACACTGTTCATTTCTTAGGACTAGTTGAGTTCTGACCTGGCCTTTTTCAGAAAACTTATTTCTGTGGTTACAAATTTGTGTCTGTTACTTTCCACTGTTCCAGATGATAGTCCTGCTTGCACTGAGAGTATGGGACCACAGCACACGGCCGGGGCAGTATTGAAGAGACCATGTACTGACCATGCTGCATGATCCCTCTCTCTGAATGAATTATCATTATGAAGATAAATAAGTGAACCAATAGAAAATAGAATAATAATAATAATAACATGTTCAATAAAATATGTTCTAAGTTAATTAAACTGTAGTTTAATGTTTATAAATTTGCTCCATAACAATGGTGAGCACATAGAGGCCATGGACCGGCCTAACAAAATGGGAATTTCCGTAGATCTGCGTGGCCTTTATGCTGAAGCTGGCTGTGACGAAACCACATTAACTAATAAAAACACAACAAACCTGTGGTAGTGGCCTCCCAGTGGAACAAGACTGCTGGTTCAAGGAACTGCGGGCAGAAAACATTCTACACATCTTCTTCTGGCCATCTGTTGGTGATGCAAGTTTGGTAAACATCCATCTTCCTCTTCGTAATGGGGAGTTCCACATGGAAACAGAAGCAACTCTGAACTGAGATGAAGCAGATGTAACTAAGGAAAAAACAGGTGATTTTGAGTGCAGTAAGACTGGTGGAGTGAGCGGTGATATGTCTGGGTTTGACGAAATAAATCTCTTGTGTTGCATTTGCCTTCTTCCTTTGCTAGCTAGCACTGCAGCGTTTTTAAAAGTGTGGTACTGTGTGTGGACTTCTAAGGCATGTTTCTTGGTTAAGGCAGTTATGGTTGAGATGGCAATGCCAGGTGTTTGTGCTACCGGGATCATTATCATAACAGCAGGCTCTGATTAAAGGCAAACTGCAGATCTGAAAGCAGGCCTTCTTCTCCAAGGCTATCAGTTGTGAACCTGAAATGAAAGACTCAAGGTACTTTTATAACAACAAAGCCAAAGCTAAAGTGAGCAAGGGCACATCGGTTCTATTCAGGTTTTTCACCCCATCCCAACCGGTGCACGATTTCGTAGGGAATTCCCTGTCTAAGGGGGTTAGTCTAAGGGGGTTAGGTTTAGGGAAAGTCTTAAACGCTGTTCATTTAACACTAACGCTAAAACTCCTATGCCGTATGGCATGTCATGTGATAGTTCTTTTCAATGTTGTTACCATTTATTGCATCATAAATTCCACTGTCTGTTACTTTTGTTTGTTTCATCGCCCTCACTCTGCCCTGTGTGGAAGCACTGTCCTTACTTTGTGACTTGGCCTTTGCCATGAATTTTCTTGACCTGTCAGTATTCCTGCATGTAACCCTAACCTTAACACTGACTCTAAACCTAATGCCTTTGGGAGACAGTGTGTAGACCTAGTCGAACCAAGCCCAGACACTTGTTGGTATGCTAGTATATATAAGGCCATGACCTTCACCATGAATTTCCTTGACTTGTCCCTATTCCTGCATGTAACCCTAACCCTAACACTGACGCTAACCCTAATGCGTGTGGGAGACAGTGTGTAGACCTGGTCAAACGATGCCCAGACACTTGTTGGTATGCTAGTATATACAAGGCCATGACCGTCCCCAACTAGTTGCAGCTGGTCGTGTACAACCGAACGAAGGCAGGTCATAATACCCCTAGATTGTAGGACGGTTTCAGGGAATTCTCTAAGAAAATTTGCGATGGACGAAAGGGGGTGAAAAACCTGAATAGAACATCATCAAACTCCTACCTGTGATCCTTTTCAGCATAAGTAGCAGGATAAAAGAAGAAAGAGATGAAAGAAGATTACTGCCAGTTTATTTTCCTAAGGTCTGTTGGTATGCATGATTGGCTGCCATGCTACATTTGTAATTAGGTCACAGTGGTATTAAAACTGACGAAGTGACTTTCAGTCCCCTCACCAGTAACCATGATTAAATATGTATCTTTTTAGGTCCATTCAGAAAAAAAAATTTTAACGCACAAGATATTTCATGAATATTAAGTAACTGGCTGCATTTAAATGATAAATTAGATTGCAGCACATGGTATGGAAACTGGAATTTAACCTGTAGGTTCATTTCACTAGTCTGTATAATAAATACGTTATTTTGGTACCCATAGTGCCGTCTTTAAAGCTCGGTAGTCTCGTATCATCATTATCATTGTCCAGTTGGGCCATTCTATGTCAAATCTCCACAATCTATTCCTCCTTTCCATTCTATCCTGTAGAGTTATTTTGATAGCATGGATACAATACAGTCTAGCACCGTTGGTCTTTCTCATCAATGTTCATTTTAGGGTTTCTGCTGGATGTCCTCAATCCCTTTACTTCCCATGTTAGTGGCTTTTAGTGATTCTCTGCTTGTTTCTTCTCAGGATGTCAGGATGTGTCCAGTGTCTTATGTCATCTTCTTTCTGTTATAACTGTTAATACCAGTGGTTGCCCAGACATTTCTCTTATTTCTTCACCATTCCTGAATTCATCCCATCTGGTATATACTGGGATATATATATATATATATATATATATATATATATATATATATATATATATATATATATATGTGTGTGTGTGTGTGTGTGTGTGTGTGTGTGTATGGTGATTATGATAGAAATTATACTATGAATAATTTGACAATCTCACTAACATAGCGTTATAAACACTGTGGATATATTGTTCCCTTAGTGTGAAATCACTGATTATTCTGCACGATTTTATCTTTAGGGGAAACTTCTTCAAAAAAGCCATGGACATTCTTCACAGTCTAATAATGTGATGTCAGCCCGGCTCGCTAGCGTGGTTGGCTAAACCTTTTTGCGCGGTGACCGGGTGACAAACTCCTTGTGGTCCGGGTTCACGCCCGGGGTTAGGCAGAAAAGCCACACTTCTCCCAGATTTACGGTATTTATCATAGAATCATGACCCAAGGGTTGCGATATCCATAATAATAATAACGATCCTAAGGGTTAACAATTACTATTACTTGATTTACAACTCACGGCTTCTCGGATACTAAAAAAAAAAATTTGATGTCATAATGCCCATTTCTAGAATAACCTCAAACATTTAAACACACAGAGACGAAAGAATAATACGGTATAAACTGACTCCGACAAAAATATTCACAACCCAGAAGGAAACAAACCGAATGTGTTTACTTACCGTCCGCCTCTTTAACAACGTCTTCTTGTTCGCAGACGACATTACAGACTACAACTGTGGCTGCCCTGGGGTCAAAGGTCGTGGTCGTGGAAGGCAAGGTTAAGGTCGGGAATTGTCACAATTTTTTTTTTTTACTATCATGTGCTTTTTGAGTTTAGTAGACCCATGGTGGTTGGGAGAGTTTATACATCAGCGACCGGATCGCCCACTGGCTCGCCGGTAGACGACTTTGTCGCAGGTCTCGACAGTATTTGAGTGTCTCCTTTGGTCGCATCAACACTTCAGGAGTTCTTTTTCAGGGCTCTTGGTGGCATGCAATGCTAGGTACTTTATCTTACGCACATAACCAAGGTCACAGTTATAACCTAAAGCTCATATTTCGAGGATGCAAAGCATCGGATTGGATCGGGGGAGGGCGGGAGTGATGAACCCCCTGCCTCACTACAAGCATATCGTGAGAGGCAACTATTTAGGAAGGTTTTCTACGAAGTCGGAATGCATTGCCTGAGAGGCGAGGAATGAACAGTCTGCATATACGTAAAAGAGGGCCCTCTGCGTTTTCCCTTCCCCGCCATACATATTTCTTCTTCTTCTTCTGCCTTTCTACCCCCCCCCCCTTTTCCCCCCAATGGAGCATAGGCCCTCAATCAACTCATGCCAAGTAGTTCTATCCTTCGCTATCGTATATAACTCTCTACATGTCCTCCCATCCTTTTAACATCCTCTCGCTTCCCTGGATGTTTTTTGGCTTCCTTTATTTATGTGCCCCTGTGGGTTCCGGTGCAAAGACAATCTAGTTACATGCTCCCAGGTTTTCTCAATGGTGTCCTTTCCAATGCCAGTGTCTTTTCTTCACTTCTCGGTCCACTGGAACTTGTTTAGTTCTCTCCCAAAGCTCTACATTAGTGATTCCATCATAATATTTAATTCCCTCTCTTTGTTGTTCTCCATGTTTAAAAATTAAAATGTTAAGTAGTATTAGTTTTAATTTCTTTAGAACTCCAGGCATTTCCTAGTGCTATTTCTTTCTTCTTCTTCTGCGTTCGACATAAGTCATACTAAACATTGAGTCCCGCCTGGGTCACACACAAATATGATTGTGCCTTTAATGTCGCCACAGGTCCCCCATAGCTTCTCTTGCAATGTGGCTCCCTTGTGCCAGATCTACAGTATTTTATGGGAGAGGTTAGGGCAGTACTACAGTATGTGCTCAGGGGTCTGTCTTTCTGCTCCACAATCACTGGCAGCAGATTCTTTTATGCCTATCCTGTACAGGTGTGCTCGAAGACCACAGTGTCCAGTCCGAAGTCTAAAAATTGATGTTTGTTCTTTCCTGTTGAGTTTGTTTATGCTGTCAGTCTCTGGTCTGTAATCTCCATTCTGCCTTCTCCACTCCCGCTTGAAAGACTGCTTTAGCGCTGTTTTTGGTTTCCTTGTAGTCGTGGGAGGTTGTGGAAGATTACTCCCAGCTTTTGCCAACTCATCTGCTCTCTCATTTCCTTGAACACCACAGTGGACTGTTATCCACTGCAAGACCAGTTCTGCTTCCTTGGAGAGTAACCCAATGTTGGACCTTAGATCTGCAATTAGTTTGTCTTGCTTTTTGCTTGATAGTGCTTGGAGAACAGACAATGAGTCAATAAGTACAACAATTTTGTGCCCTCTGTGTTCTTGAGTGATGAGATGTTGGACTGCAGAAAGGAGGGCAGTTTCCTCAGCTCTGAAGTTAGTGCAGATGTCACCTACTGGTAGAGAAAGTTTCAGCTCTACTGCTAGGTGGTTTAATGTATATTCCACAACCCCCCCCCCTCCCCCACCCCTTTTTTTCAGACTGCATCTGTAGCAGAGCCGTTGGTGAAAACCTGAGTCGAACTGGTGTTTGGATACTTCTCATCAAGCATAGCAAGAGCCAGGGTTCTCTGTTGTGTCTTATCCGGGCATCTTTTGAAGTGATCCCTGGTACCTTTAGAACTACATTTGCCTTCTCTGGCTTGCTTGTCTATGGTTCTGGCCTAAGTCTTTCGCACAGTGCAACATCTCTTTCAAGCAGATCTTGGTGCTGTCTGTACAGTTCTCTAGCAAGGTGGTTGGGGCTCTGAAGCTTCAGTCTGTTTTTTGTTCTCTCTTGAAATTTAAAATCAGTGGGTGACTTTGAAGTCTTTTTAATTTCTCATACTGTAAAAGAGTTTTGTATTGTCTTCTGAGTTCGAGTGGTTCAGTAGCTGCTATCCTCTCTATCTCTCAGATGGGGGTGGTTTTCATGGCTCCAAGAACAATCCTTAATCCCATATTCGGAACCTTGTCCAGTTTTCCCATTGTTGTCTTGGCTGCTGCAGCCCATGCAGTGGAGGCATATTCCATGACTGGCCTGACTGCTCCAGTATATACTTGTTTTAGGATTCTAGAGTTAGCGCTCCATGTGGCACCCGCTAATTTTTTCAACACTGCAAGCTTCTTGAAATCTTTCCCCTGTACTGCTTCTACATGTGACTTCCAAATTAGTCGTGAATCAAGTGTAACGCCAAGAAAGGTAGGAGTGTCAGTCTGTGGAATGAGCTGGGTTTTTTATCCAAAAAAAAAAATTTGGGGGGGGGGTGGGGGTGGTGGGTGTGGGCTTGATGCTGTGCTTTTTTTTTAAACTATTTAGCTTTAAACCCCACTTTTCGGTCCAGGCTTCTACATTTTCCAGTTT